AAAAGTATCAATAAAAACAAAGCGGACTGTTTTTTATTATGTATATGAGCACATTCAGTAATTACATGCAAGAACATCTGGAAGCCCTTGGCACATTGCCTGGCATACAATAGTGCTTCCACTTGTTGGAATAGCACCACTGGGTGTTCTAACCAAGGGTCAGCAATGCCAAAGTGTAATTCACAACCAAGACTGCTGAGAGCTCCCTGCCCATCATTCCTGTTGGTTTCCTTAGGGCCATGCCTCACCACATCCCCTCTATCACCATCAGCAGATTCTCCCCCAGCTTCCCTCTTTGGAATAACTCCATCTCAGTCACCAGCCCAGTGACCACCCTGCTGAAGTCAAATGGCTGGTTGACTGAATCTAATATACGTTGAAGAACAACACTCTGTAAAGTCAGCAGCTTACTGTTTTACACAGTTATGTATTCCAGTTTTCAAGGAATGATTTCTAACTCTGCATCACCACTCCAGTTAAACACCATGTACATTCTTGTGGCCTCCACATTAGGTCCTTGTGATATGTTTTCCAAACCTTTGCAGACTCACACTGATTTATGTCTAAGCAAGAAGCAACATTTTTAGGAACGCAGTTATTGTAGGGTTAGTACAGTACTCTGCTTCAAAAGTTAGTTTTGGGCAGAGACAAAGAACAGATGTCAAGCAACTTCAAAACAGTAAGCCTTCCACTTTATTGCCATCTTCCTTTTAATCTTCAGCCTCCAACTCTCAAATACTGCGAGGGCTCCAGTCTTTAGGAAATTATTAATATACTCTCACAGTTTATTAAATTGATGGCTCTGTTGAAAAGATTATGCCAGAGCAGTAGTTCTCAAAGTGTGGTCCCCAGTCCAGCAGTCTCACGACCACCTGGGAACTCGCTTTAGAAATGCAAATTCTCGGGTTCCAACATGGCCTACTGAATCAGAAACTCTGAGACCGCGGTCCAGAAATCTGAATTTTAACTAGTGATGCTGATGCAGACAAACATTTGACGACTTCTCCAGAAACGTGAACCTGATTAAGAACAAAATATTTAACTGTTTATTAAGTGCTGGTTTAAAATATGTAGGCAAAAAAAGTTTTGGATATCTGGATAGTAAACTCCCCAGGTTAGAAAAAGACCCTTATATGAGCTTCATCTTGCTCAGGGAAGCCTGAAAGTATGGTGATTTGATGATGTCACTGCCACGTGAAGAGCGGACATCCTTGAGAAATAAACAATCCACACACCCGAGCAGAGAGTATGGAATGTCACCACTCAACTTCCTCGCCATGGTGACAGAGGCAGCAGTCTCTTGATAGAATTAAACAACATGCTGAAATTAAGAATCTGATACCTTTCTCTGATCTGTTGGAAAATCTAGGTAAAGTCAAAACTATTAGCAAAAGTGCAATCAAAAAAATCCCCATATGGGCTGGGCATGGTGGCTCACTCCTGAAATCCCAGCACTTTGGGAGGCCAAGGGAGGCAGATTACCTTGGTCAGGAGTTCAAGACCAGCCTGGCCAACATGGTGAAACCCCACCTCTACAAAAAATATAATAAAAATAAAACTCCCCATGTGAAGGTTCTCAGCTTTGGGGCAGCTGCTATTTAGCAGTCATATCTTAAAAGAGGTGGTCCATCAAAATCCCATCCATCAGCCACCACAAAAATTAGAATTTATGTCAAACCCCTACCCTACCACCTCACAAACAGAAACTTAATAAGTGGTAATTATACTGATGCAATATTTTGTCCTTATTATAAAATAGGTGCTAGAAACATCTAGCTATGAAAAAAGTATTATAAAACCAATCTCACTAGGATTTTGATTTTTCAAGCCAATTCCATAGAAGAGTCACATGGTAGAAACGTACATGCAAGGTATGAGTCAAGACTGTGAGTGATTTTAAAAACCAAGATTAAATACATATGATTTGTTGGTAAAGAACGAGGAAAACAAATATTTGTACAAATTAGGTTATAAATTAGTGAACACAAACATATCTATACACCTAATATTACATAGGAGTTCTACTTAAGGGAACCGTGCAAATTATAAATCTTTAATGAAATGAGGAGGGAATTTGGAGAACTAGGGGGGAAAACAAAAGTCACAGCCCACTCAGCCGGGCGCGGCGGCTCACACTTGTAATCCCAGCACTTTGGGAGGCCAAGGCGGGCGGATCACGAGGTCAGGAGATAGAGACCATCGTGGCTAACACCGTGAAACCCTGTCTCTACTAAAAAATACAAAAAAATTAGCTAGGCGTGGCAGTGGGCACCTGTAGTCCCAGCTACTCAGGAGGCTGAGGCAGGAGAATGGAGTGAACCCAGGAGGCAGCAGTGAGCCAAGATCACACCACTGCACTCCAGCCTGGGCGACACAGCAAGACTTCATCTCAAAAAAAAAAAAAAAAAAAAAAAATCACAGCCCACTCTATGAAATGTGAAAGAACACAGACAAGGCTCATGGCAGAACCTGCATTTGGTTTGCCCTGTGGGGCCATGGGGACACAGCTTCCCTGACCCTTGGTTATATGAAGATAATGATAACCACCTTCTGACATTTTTCTATGCATAATTGCCACATAGCTCTTGGCACATGGTGACCGAAGAATCTGAATTTGTTGAAACTTACTTTGTAACCCATATTCAGGGCAAAAGGTATATAAATATTTGGCTTACTGGGTCTCAACAATCACATGATTACAATCTCCTGAGGGACAGGAGTGGTGACTCCTACGGTCACAGTGTAGGAAGAAATTGCTCTCCCACTTGTACTCGCATTTGTGAGACAGTCGCCACTCACAACCCTGTTCTCATACCTACCGCCATCCTCCAGACCCTGAAAGGTAGACACAAGTTTTACTGCTCCCATTTTCCAAGTGGGAAACACTCAATTGTCTGGGCGATTTTCCTAAGACTCTAACCCTTCTGCAGCTGGGCTTGCACTAGTCATCTCCAGGACTCTTGCCACCAACACAGTCAGAGTCTTTTCCAAAGTCAAATAGAAGTGGTTTCATCAGATTCAAGACGATCTATGAGTTGATAAAGTTTCAGAAAAATCCCATTACAGAAAGAATGTCAGAAGTTTGGGAACTATAAAGTACGAGGGAAAATGAAGAGAGAAAATCCACTAACAGAAAACAGGAGTATCTCTTTAACCCACACACATACATCCCCCTTTTCCACAGGCATATGGCTGCAAAGCAAGACATCGCATTTCCAGTCTCCCTTGTGGCCACCATGTGACAAACTCCCTGCCGATGGACTGGCAAATAAAAGTGATGGAAGAAATTCTAGTCACCTGCTTAAAAGCACATCCCTTTCCCTGGACTTCTGCCCTTTCCCAGCTGCTGGCTGGAAGTGGTGGCAACTAGAGAGGCCTTACAGGTGCACAGCCGCATTGTGGCCTGGGTCCCTGGGTCGCAGGTGGGAGGGAGACAAACTCTTCTGGTCTTTAAGCTACTTCATTGTTGGTATTAGAGAAAATAGGAAAGTAAGGTGGGGAGGGAGAGAGAACAGAAAAGATAAATAATCCATTAACAAGTCATCTGAGTCCGTCAGATAGAAACCTATTTTGTTATACTAGGAAGGGATGATAGCAACATCAGCTTCAATAATTGGGGGTTTGCCATTCACTTAATGAGAAGTGAAAATATTTAACTCAGTACATAAACTTTTTTTTTTTTTGGCAAAAAGCAAACAAAGTAATGTTTTTGAATATATAAAGAACAAGGTCTTGGTAACAAATGGAAAATATTAAGACAAACTGCCAACAACTCGCTGGATCATAAGAAAACAAGAACATTAAAAATTCCTTAGGTGCTATTTTTAAACAGCCAGGAACACTGCCTTAAAATTATTAGCTATTATTTTATAAAATAATAGAAAATAATAGTATATAAAAAATGAGCCGTGTAGCTTTTCCAGGAGGAAACATGGATAGTAACTTATTAAAAGCCCAGGGTTACAGATTTCATCTAATCAAATTAGTAAAAGCATGTCCACAAAGATAAAGACCAAAGACTAATGATAGATAATAATGGCTAGAGCTACAGGGAGGGCCTTAATGAGAAGAATGGGGAGAAGTGCTGGGTATGGTTGGCTTAACTAAATTAGTATAATAGACCAAATAAGTACTAATGAAGACAAAACCAGCTGGCTTTCCACCTTTCACAGGTGAATGAACTCTGCAGCTTTCTACGTATCATCGATCATAACACAAAACCCAAGTGAAGCTTGTGAAGAGAGAGAATACAGATTTGAAACTATTGGGGCCGGCATGTAGTTGGTCATGCCTTTAATCCTAGCACTTTGGGAGACCAAGGCAGGAGGATCACTTGAGGCCAGGAGGTCGAGACCAGCCTGGGCAACAAAGTGAGACTCTGCCTCTATAAAAAATGAAAATTAAAAAAAAATATATATATCTCTTAGCCCGGCTATTCAGGAGGCTGAAGTGGGAGGATTGCTTAAGCCCAGGAGCTCAAGGCTGCAGTGAGATGTGATCATGCACTCCAACCTGGGTAACAAACAGAGTGTGAACCCAAATCTTTAAACAAAAAGAGAGAGAGAGAGAGAACGAAAGAAAGAAAAAGAGAAAGGGAAAGAGAAAGGGAAAAGAAAGAAAAGATTGGGCCTTCCTGGAAAAAGGAATATTTTGCCTTCCAATGAATCACCAGAAAAAAGCAGAGTTTTAATTTGTGACCTTGAATCACAACAGTATCACAACAAAAGAACAAATCTTGATGAAGTAATTTTACCTTCCTAAAGAAAACTGTCATTAGTAAACCTTCAATGACTCACAATTCCTAGTCTTGAGCTCCTAGTAACTCAAGCTTGTGAAGGATTAGGTTCTAATGCAACGAGAGCCTACCACCAAATATATTTATAAAATAAGCAGTGCAATTCAAAACTTCCTCTACAAATGTATAATCTTTGCTTATAAAACCCACATTGATGATCCCAAAGCTGTAATAAAAAACAATAAAGAAAGAAAAGGAAAACCACTTATTGGTACTAAAGCCTTTACTGTAATAAACCAAATATATTTACAATTTATACAAATGTTTAACCTTCAACAAAAATACAAAAAAACATTTCACAAGATGCAAAACCAGGAAACAAGTTCATTGGAGACACCACTGCTCTACAAAGGACGGAAAGTGAGGTGAACTGCAAGGAACAGGAAAGGTAATCTCACACTTGGGCAAGGCGTGATCCCCAGATCACCCAGAAAGAAAGAATGGGCTGTCACGTGAGTCGGCCGATTCCGTTCCTCAATCCTACAACCCATGGCCCCTCTGTCTGCTTGGCCTTGGTGCTCCATTTGGTCTATGTAGACAGGTGACTTTCTGCTGATGGACTTGTCGCCTCCTCTTTGTAGACTCAAAGTAGTTTCGTGTCAAGGTTTGGAAACAGGTGTTTGTATTTTTTTTTCTCTTTTAAAGTTACAACTTTTCTATTTCTACAGATTCGAAACATTTTGGCCCAATTCAACTATCAACGTTAAACCACATAATGTTTTCAGTAGATGACTTCATAGACTGTAGCCTTCTTGTCCCCTGAGCCAGTGACTATGTACTTATCATCCACAGAGATGTCACAGCTAAGCACTGACGAGGACTCTTTGGACTGGAAGAGAAAACAATGAACACGTGTTTAATGTGGACCAACGGTACTCAGAGGCCCTGCTCCCTCTGAGGCACCTTCACTCCTGGTTTCAAAGGCAACACTGTGGTGAAACTGTGGATCTAGGTGAGGAGCACTTACTCACCTGGAATATGCTGGCTCCATAGGGGGTCCGCCAAGCATTGAGGAGGTTATCTTTTCCAGTACTCACAAACCATTTACCTAGAATTAGCAAAGGAATATCTCGTTTTCACAAGGTTAAAATTCCTACTATACAATTAGCAACTTGGACTTAATCAAACTAAGAACATTTTTAACATCTGAACTATCATGCCCTAAGGGACTGGTCCATGACATGAACAGTTTTTAAAATCTGGGCTCCTCAGTGATTTATCAGTGTGATCTTGGGTATAATTTAAGAGGTGTCAGCCTCCTTAGTCACTGGATACAGGACTAGTAGCATCATATCCAACACACGGTAACCCTTAAATATAGAATCAATGAAGAATGTCTTCTATTTTAGTCAGTCTTCCCATGATAAAATGGGACTAGACAGGATTAAACATCTAACTTAAGTAAAATGCCAGTCACATCATATAGCACGAAGAAAAATGCTCAGTAAGTGACAGGCACTCATCCGTCCGTCCGTCCATCCGTCCACCTCTGCATCCTGTGAACAGATATCTGCCCATCTGCAGTGCACAAGAAGGGTCTCCACATGAACTTCTTCCCTCTTCAACCTCACTGTAGAGTGTACCTAAGTGCCTGGGTACACCTAAATATCTGCTTCTCTGACCCTGGATTCCTCATCACGGACAGCTCATGACTTCCACTGCCCCTGCCCCATTCTTCAGTAAATTCCCACCCACCCCTCTACAGAGTGGAAACTCATTGTCGTCTCCCAACCCCCACTGAAACAAACCTGTGTCCAAACCTTGTATTAGGCAATCACATTGCCTGCTGACTTTTCTCAAATTAGCAAAATAAACTGAAACAGACATTGCTGTGCTCTGAAGGGCATATTAAAACAATGGAATTATTGCATCCAGCTGCTCAGAGAACAACACTGTTTCCAGATAAGATCTCTACCATATTTTTTTAAGAAGCATTTTCCATTTGGGCCATCAACGACCGCCAGTTTCCTTTCGGCTGAACTCACCACAGTAAGCAAATTTCAGGGACAGCACGCAGCTCTCGTGCAGGTGCAACTGGTACTTGTCGGGCTTGTTCACGTGCAGCACCTCCACGTTGCTGCTCTCCATGCCCACTGCCAGCCACTCCCCGGTGGGGCAGTAGCCCAGGGAGAAGATCTGCAAGGAGCAGGACAGGCTCACTCATGATTCCGCCTGATACACTTAGGAAGGGAAGACGCAATGTGAAAGCGGGGGAAAGAGCAAGAATAGGCGGAGGTAATCATCCGAGTCCAGACTGTGGGGAGGGCTACAGGGTAAGTGATCTAACACAGATGAACCAAGTGTCAAAACCTTTAGGAAACTGGAAACATTTGAACCCCTCTGTCCTTTGGGATAAAATTAAGAAATGATTCCTAATAATAATGGCATTCATGTGTACATTTTAAAGCAGGCCTTACCTTTTCGAGACAGTAACTGAAATACAATCATATATCACCTATCGAGGCAGATGTGTTCTGAGAAATGTGTCGTTAGGTGACTTCATTTTTTATTTATTTATTTTTATTTTTTTATTTTTTTATTTTTTTCGAGATGGAGTTTTGCTCTGTCGCCCAGGCCAGAGTGCAGTGGCACGATCTCAGCTCACTGCAACCCCTGCCTCCAGGGTTCAAGTGATTCTCCTGCCTCAGCCTCCTGACTAGCTGGGACTCCAGGCATGAGCCACCACGCCTGGCTAATTTTTGTATTTTTAGTAGAGACGGGGTTTCACCATATTGGCCAGGCTGGTCTCGAACTCCTGACCCCTGGATCCAACCACCTCTGCCTCCCAGAGTGCTGGGATTACAGGCATGAGCCACTGCGCCCAGTCTTCTAATTTCTTTACTTTTTGAGACGGAGTCTCGCTCTGTCACCCAGACTGGATTGCAGTGGCGAGATCTCGGCTCACTACAAGCTCTGCCTCCCATGTTCACGCCATTCTCCTGCCTCAGCCTCCTGAGTTGCTGGGACTACAGGCGCCCGCCACCACGCCCGGCTAATTTTTTGTATTTTTAGTAGAGACGGAGTTTCACCATGTTAGCCAGGATGGTCTCGATCTCCTGACCTCGTGATCCGTCCGCCTCGGCCTCCAAAAGTGTTGGGATTACAGGCGTGAGCCACTGCGCCTGGCCTCATTAGGTTACTTTATTGTGTGAACTTCACAGAGTGCACTTACACACACCTAGATGGGGGAGCCTATCACTCGTAGGCTACAAGTCTGCACAGCATGCTACTGTACTGAGTACTGTAGGCAACTGTAGCATAGTGGGAAGCATTTGTACACTCAGATATATCTAAACATTGAAAAGGTACAGAAAAACATGGTATTATAATCTTAAGGGATCACTGTCACATATGAGGTCTGTCCTTGGCCAAAAGGTTATATGGTGCATGACTGTGCTTATGGATAAAATGATATGCTGTCTGGAATTTACTTTAAAATAATCCAGTGTTTGGGGATGGGGACGAGAGTTATCACACGGCCAAATACCTTAAAGCTGAGCGATGGGCATGTGGTGTTTATTGTACAATTCTCTGTACTCTCATAACTGCTTGGACATTTGCTGTACTCATATGTATTTGAGAATTTCTCTAAGAAGTTTAAAAAAAAAACAAAAAAGGCAGACCAAAAATTGTATCCTACTTCTGTTGGGAAAGAGGGAAAACAGCAAGACTCTAAGAAACTCAACAAAATGTTAACCGGAATATGAAATTTAGAAGTATATATGCTTGTTTTCTGTTTCTGTCCTAGTTTTCTAAGTAGAATTATTTTTATTACAAAACAAGGTAAAAAGAAAAAAAAATGCCAAGTCATGATCAAAGCAACAATTCTACCACCAGAAAGCATTTAAAACGGCAAACACTGTTTTTCCCAAAACAAGTCTACACTCAGACACTGGACATCAGAATACTTTTCACAATCTACAAAGCTGCCATTGATATATTATTTCAAAAGTCTGCAAATCTAGTCAGCCACGAGTTCATTTTTTAAAGGATGAGGAACAAAATGGGTATCACTGAGGTATTTCTGCATTTTTTAAGCTCTCTGGTACAGGGGAAATAAATGAACTTTCAGAGGAGCTGTGACTTCTCTCCATTCCTAGTGACATTCTGCAGATTTCTCAAGCTCTATTTATTTGGGAATCAAAAAAATCATCTCCTACTCCTACATTAGATGGTGAGAATACGTGCCACCGATCAAACACTGCTGAAAGAAAACTATATATTCCTCACCGTACAAATCCCTTAAACAAACTCATATATAAATATAACAGCGAACACCCCTTAACCTACAGGATTCTAAAAACCACTCTAGGAGTTTTGGGGAAGGTAGCGGGGAGGGTCGTGAAGGAGGAGGTGGTGGTCGTTGTTTTTAAATTAGTTATCTCAAATTCAGCCCTGATCTGTTTGTCCAGCCACTAACAGCCTAGGGTAAGGGGGGAGGGTGTGAGGAGGAAGACACACCCCAGCACCTCCCAGACTCTGGGGCAAGTGGAAGCCACTCAGTCACCTGGGAGGTGAAGTCATGCTGCTGCAGCTGCCGCCCTTCGCGCAGGTCCCAGGACCTGACCGTGTTGTCCAAACCGCCCGTCCAGAGCTTGGTGCCATCATTAGAAATGTCAATACAGCTGGCTCCGTCTGTGTGGCCCTGGAATTGCCTGATAAAACAAACCAGATTGAATAATGATTTCCTGCCAGAGCTCAAGGTAAACACTGTTGTGTTGTTAGTTTTGGACCCTGTGTGTGCTTGTGTGTGTGTCATCCCGCCAGTGTCTGCTGATGTGCAAGATCAAACTAACCTTCCCCCGAGGAGGAGGGGACACAGCACCTGCTGATTGTCTTTCCTTTTTTTCACGATCCAAGTGCTAAAGAAATGGAATATGCCACTGCAGGTCACTACCCAGAAGTTAAATACACTGCTCTGACAAATCCGTCTACGAGGTAAAATTCTTGCCAGCTCTGGTAAAGTGTTTAATTGTTAAATAGAAAATAAAAGACAAACACACAAAATCCCAATTGTATTCCTTACGGAAAGGTAAAGGTCTGTTCTTTAATGGTGCAGGCCTGAATCCATGAGAGAAAGAAATGGGGACGTTACAAGCACAGAGTGGACAGAAGCATTCCTGTTTCCATGAGTGGATCAACACAGCAATGCCCTACGTGCCAACAGAGCATGAGCTCATGTATTTACCCAACCTTGCTCTCTGTGTTAGAAAGAGCCCTGCATTAGGAAATCTGGACTCCCAGAGACAAAGGGTCACGCATGCCGGCCTCCTGACCTCAGAGGCACTGGGCAGAGACAGAGGTAATTGCCATGGGCACCTCAGCAAGACTCTGCCTCCAAGCTGAGCACAAGGTTGTTCTTTAAAGCAGAACCTTGTGCTTCATTCAAAAATCGCCACCAGAAACAATCAGCCAACAGGGATCTGCTGAGCTCAGATGCTGTGCAAGGCAATGAGCAGAGCGGCTGAGGGGAGGTCAGTGTAAGCCCCAGCAGGGATGGTGACTGTCCTGGACTCAGTTCTGCGTGCTGAGAGGGAGCTGGTGGGGGAGCAGCCAGAAAAGGTGAACAAAGTCTAGACCCACCCTCGGAACCAAGCGGGATCCAGTAAAGAACTGCATGAGAATTTCAACACCGAGAGGAACGTTTCCACACTGCTTTTTCCTCCAGGATCCCCACACCTTATCATTCCCATAGAGCTCCCAACTTTTAACCTGAGCTTGGATTTTAAAGAGTGCAAGGGAAGGAAAAAGCACCACTACTGTCCTAAATTCTAAGCCAAGATGTGAACCATCACTTTAAACATCTTCTCTCTGCAAGCCATTCCCAACTTCTGCACTTTAGGATGCAGGCTTGGTCCTCTCTCCTCTACTGCGGCCGTGCAGGTGGACCTCAAGTGCTTCCCAGACATCCCCACAGAACACCCAGGCCTGGAGCAGTCGCTGCGTCTCTTGCTGAAAGTGTTGCTTTGCTTCCCTTCAAACCGCTCTGGAAATCCAGTGATCTCTTGACCCTCTGACGTCTTTGGACCTTTCTAACTCATTAAATGCTGTTCCTCGTTGACTGAAAACACCTTCCTCTGCTGACATACAGTAGCTGACGGCTGCCCCCCATCCCGCTGCCCTCCCTCCATCCATATACTTCAGCATGACTCTCAGGCACATCCTATGACTGTTCAGAATGTGCTGAGTTACGGTGGCTACAAAGACATACAATAGGCTGTGCATGGCCCTGTTACACGCGGCAGCCACTAGCCACCTGTGGGTGGTCCAGAGAAAGATTTGTAAGATGCTACCCCATCCTATCCAACAGGTATTTACTCCCCAGGAGCCGGCACGGAGCAAGGGATCACAGCACAGACAAGACGGCAGAATGCCTGGGCCCCAGCTTGGCTCCACCACATCTGACTGTGCAACCTGAAGCCAGTAACTTACCCTCTCTGAGCCTCAGGTACTTCATCTATAAAATGGGGCAAATAGCAGGACAGTGTCATGAGGACTAAGTGGAGGAGTATTTGAAAAGTGCTTGGAATTGATATTTTGAAAGTGCTACTTATGGAGTTTTAAAAAAAGAAAAAACAAGTCACTTTGCTAGGATAAAAGGTTGAGAGGGCGTTCAGCTCTGGCTCCATTATTCCGTTTTGCTCACCTACGCTACTCAGCAAACGGAAGAGGAAAATAACTGCCGCACTGTCGCCCACACGCAGGGACCGGGCCCGGCTCAATGACACTTAATGGATTTCTACAGCGGAGGTCTGAAGAGAGTGAGCTGTCATGATGACTTCTGGAGCCCGTGCCTTCTCTGTGCAGCACAAGAGGGGACTTACCAAACAAGCCATGGACCCCAAACTGCACCATCCGCAGGGACGGCTTCCCAGCGAAGATGAAACAAGAGTAAAACACATGCTTCATTTTACCTTTCATGTTTCATTCGTGCTTACTTTAAAAAGACTTTGTGAGAACAGTTCTGGTGTGAGCACTGACTTCTGAAGGGGGCATTTGGTGGGGGAGCTGAGGAGAGACACAAGGGTACTAGAACTGCAGCTGCTGCTAAGGGGACAGGGCCGATGCCAGGACGCGAGGCAAAACCCTGCGGGCTCCTGAGTGGAACCACCCCTGGGCAGGTCTCCTATTTCATTATTGAGATCCTTTAAAACCATTTTGTGGGTGAAATTCATGGAATCTCCTCTCCTCATGTCTCCTTGTTGATTTTCTGTTATCTTTTATCAGTTGGCTCTTGTCTGCACCAAGTTCTAGCCAAAGCCCAAAACATCTAGTAGCAAAGGCCCTTTGTGCTGCGTGTAATCCACATGAGGCCACCCCTTGGCAAAAGCCAGAAATCTTTTCCGAACAAGTTTGGAGTCTGTATGTGGGCTGACATACAGACTATAGGATATACAGACTATCTACAAGCAGATAGAACGTCTCGGTGACCCCAGGCATAGTAGCAAGACTGTAAGCCCCCCTAAAGGCAGCAACACGGTTGTCTTTGTTCCCCCAACATCTAACCCTATGCCTGGCATTCAAGAGGCTCTTACTGTGCAGGCTGCGGGCAGCCAGAGAGAAGCAGAGGTGATAGGCCCAGCTGCTCAAGAAGGGAACCCCTCCTTAGACGACCATCTTTGCTCACCTCACTAGTGTCTGGTTGTGCAGATCCCACACAGCGATGTTGCCGTCGCTGCAGCATGAGAAGCAGACCTTGGAATCGGGGCTGATGGCCAGGGCGTAGCAGGCGGGGGCCGAGGACGTCAGCTCCGCCTTGATGCGTGGGGTCGGAGCTGCCAGGTCCCAAATGGACAAAGTACTGGCTTCTCCTCCCACTATGAGAGTGCAGCCATCAGGTAGCAATTTACAGGAACGGATATAATTGTCTCTGTTCTGTAAAATAAACATAATTCATTGCTATAATGAATTACCGAGCAATCATAGCACCATGTTCTCTAACGGCTGTCTTGGTTTTTTGAGTTAAAGAGTGGCGTTTCACGGACACTCTAACAGAGCAAGAGATCTCTAGTCAAGATTGGGGTCCAAGCGCAACTGTCTCCTTCAAAACAGTAAACAAAACAAATTCACAGGCGCTTAGATAACTGTTTCTGGTGTCCTGCATCACAGAGCTGAAACTATCTAGGTATGAGGTACAGGTGTACACACAGTTCCCTGAGAAGAAACCACTTTTCCAAGCTCGTTTATACATCTGCCTCATCACCCTGCAGCATTTACTGCGTGGACACTGCAGGACCCCGTCTATGTTTTGGTCTTCATTATGCTGAGCACATTACTTCATTAGTCAGAGGGATTCTTGCTAATAATTTACCAGAGCTGCTTTCTCAAGTTGTCATGTGGCTGCTATTATATTTAAGCCCCTCAATGCAAAGGCCAAAGAACCTGATAAAAGCAGGCACCTTGCCATCAAAACCAACACATATGAAGGGGGTGGGGGTGGGGGGCCCTCATATGATCAACCCCTGAAAGATGCAGACATGGCTAAAGTTTGCTTACATGCTTTTCACGATGGACTGCCTTTCAAAGATTAAAGAAACCTCAAACACGTGACTTCAACAAAGGATATTCCCACTGCTATAGAATGCTGGGCCATATTTAAATGTAAGTTTCATGAATGAAGACATTTTAAAGTTATTTTAAAAAAAAAAAAAAAGGCACTAATAACTACTCTAAACACAAGTCTGTGTTTCAAAAACACTGCCACTCAGCTTTCTGGAAACACTCTCTCCGGAATCTTTACAATTTTCCAGGCAGGCAGTGGTACACGGCACCATCTGCAACCGCAGAGCGCAGGCAGACCCCATGCCAGGGCAGGGCAGGGCAGGGCAGCTCGGAGTCTGCTTAAGGCCAGCGGTATGTGCTCTGTAAATCCTGGGGTTACGGTTTAGAGACTGGAACATGTCCCAACATGTTTTATGTCCCTGAAAAATGCAAAATGGTATTCTCAGGCTCTGAGCGGACATGGCGTAGGTACTCTGGGAAAGCATTCTCACCGCTCTATTTTGTTGATGGCTGCCCCCGGTCTTTGCAGTGACAGCCTTTAACCCTTTCCTGAAGTGAAGGTCATAAAACCTAACCAGCTCTCTCAGGTCTCCCTTAAAAACACAGACCTTACCCTGTTCAGAATGGTTTTTATGCCATGTTATCAAATATTTACTATTCTATATTTATCTAAAGGCTATAGGGAAATTAAAAACTGAGTGGATGGCAGGGACCAGAGTCCAGGCCAAGTTGTGCTTTTGTCCATTAAATGGGAAACCCCCTTTTGTAATGTACATCCATACACAAGGAGAGCCTCTGCAAACCAGTGTAAAATATTTTATAAAAAGAAATCCATCAACTCTGGGATTTAGCCAGTGCAACAGCAACAAATGAAACCTTCGCATTTAAATGGGGGGCCGAGGGGATTAAATACCCAACACAGGAAACAGAAGGGGCTTCTATTTCCTCATAATGGGAATAAAACCCAGGCCCACACAGCTATTTCCTTATTGAATCTCCAGGGAGAAATTGCCCTTGTGCACCAGTTCCTGTCCACTCACCAGACAGTCGAGCTGGGAGACAGGACTCTTATTGCCAGGGTGGCTGATGTCCCAGACCTTGACGCAGCCCTTCCCGCCTGTGTACACGTGTCTCGTGGGGTTGCTGATGGTCACCGCGCACACCACCTCCCCGTGGTTGAGGGTGTTGATCTGGCGAGCATGCCGGGGGATTCCAGGTCCGATGAGGGCGTCGGGGGGAAAAGGGACAGGCTGCATCTGACCGTCTGCGGTAACGTGGAAGGAGTACGCACTTTTGGAAAAATGAATGGAGAGAAGACAGAAAACACATTTACAGAGGAAGCAGTCATGACCTCGGCAACGTGCTACGACTACGAACACGATGGAAAAAAGGAAAGATTCTCTTGTATATTTTCCTTTTAAAACAATACAAGTTGAAGTATTTACTGATGGTGCAAATTTAAAATAATTAATAGCAGAAATCTAGTGTGTACCAAATGACATATACATAGAACTGTATTTAAAATTTTTTTAAGGTATTTAAATCGTTCTTATCCATTCTATAAAGCATTCCCTCAAATCTCCTTATAAAACACTTAACGCACTTCCAAATGAACATAAAATACCTCCTTCCAAGTATCTTGTGTAATTTGACTTCTTAGTAGAATTTTAAATGATTATTTTCCCTGCTAAAGATGAAGCCCTTAAGAACTAATAATAATTAAACAGAGTAGATAGTGTATTTCAATAGCAAAAACAACCCCCGCCACCCCAAAAAACAGCTTTCTAAAAATACCAGTTTATGGTTTGGACTTCAACTTTCTTTTGCTTAAGGAAGAGAAAATAAGAGATTATCTTATATGGCTTTAAACAGGATTTTAGGTTTCCTACTCAACAATCTTCCTCGCCTACGTTGGTCAGGAACGTCATTATACAAGGCAGCAAAGTGCCCAGCTAAAAAAACTACTCTTCCCCACTCTCCTTTAGCCCAGCGTGCCTATGTTTTGACCAATGAGGTCTAAGAAGAAGCTGCTGGATGGCATTTTGAGGAAGTTCTGAACTTGAAAGAGAGGAGAGGGATGGGGAATATGGGAACTCTTCTGTAACTTTCCACTCTATTTTGCCTGGAACCCATAACTGCTCTAAAAAAATAAATAGGGAGGGAGCATACCTGCCCTCTTCTCTTCTTCCTTCCCACTGCCTGAGCTAAGAGGGATGACTGGTGCTACTATGGCCCAGAGGTTGATTTCAAAGACAGAAATCAATTGCTGGACAGCAAAGACGTGGAACCAACCCAAATGCCCATCAATGACAGACTGGATAAAGAAAATGTTGCATATATACACCATGGAATACTATACAGCCATAAAAAAAGGATGAGTTCATGTCCTTTGCAGGGACATGGATGAAACGAGAAACCATCATTCTCAGCAAACTAACACAGGAACAGAAAACCAAACACCGCATATTCTCACTCATAAGTGGGAGTTGAACAATGAGAACACATGGACACAGGGAGGGGAACATCACACACTGGGGCCTGTCAGGAGGTGGGGGGCTAGGGGAAGGATAGCATTAGGAGAAATACCTAACGTAGGTGACGGGTTGATGGGTGCAGCAAACCACCATGGCATGTGTATACCTATGTAACAAACTTGCACATTCTGCACATGTATCCCAGAACTTAAAATGGAAGGAAGGAAGGGGGGAGGGGGGGAAGGAAGGAAGAGAATGGAGGGAGGGAGGGAGAGAGGAAGGGAGGGAGGGAGGGTGGAAGGAAGGAAGGAAGGAAGGAAGGAAGGAAGGAAGGAAGGAAGGAAGGAATTGCTGGGGGAAACAGAACAGAAAGACAGGATGCAGAGGCCCTGGTGACACTATGGGGCTGTCGTACCTGCCCTGAGCTGCTGAGAGCCATTGTCTTTTATGCGAGAGTAATAAACTTCCACATTATTTAAGCTACCATTTTCTTCCCCTGTTAAATACAAACAAACCTAATCCTAGTTACCCACTTCTACTTCTACACCAAAATTCAAAGCATATTTTTTCCTCCAACGAACTTAATTTAAACTCCAAGAGCTAAGATCCTAGGGACATGATAAAACATAAACAAAGAAAAGACACTTTAGAGGATAGAAGAAAGAGAAGTGTTAATGTTTTCACTCTACATCACTGATAAAATGATGCACGTTCAGCTGGGCGCGGTGGCCCACGCCTGTAATCCCAGCACTTTGGGAGGCAGAGGTGGGCGGATCATGAGGTCAGGAGTTCAAGACCAGCCTGACCAACATGGTGAAATCCCGTCTCGTCTCTACTAAAAATACAAAAAATAGCTGGGCGTGGTGGTACGTGCCTGTAATCCCAGCTACTTGGGAGGCTGAGGCAGAAGAATCACTTGAACCTGGGAAATGGAGGTTGCAGTGAGCCGAGATTGCACCACTGCACTCCAGCCTGGGCGACAAGAGCAAGACTCCATCTAAAAAAAAAGTATGCACATTCTACTTTGAAGACCACTATTTCCACTTTCTTAACTTGAAATCACTAGAAGCGCTAAAAGTTCAAACCATCAACAATAAGTGAAGTAGGCACTGCTTCCTCCTGCCAATAACCCTCGAGAAAGTGTGGGCCCTTTCTGGAGCCTGTCACTGGCAGCTTTATACGTAATGTAAACACCATGAGTACTAATACAGAGCTTAAATTTTCATTTTAATACAAACTCAAATTTTGTAAAGTAACTTAGCAAGCACAAAACTGAAAACGATTATGCTAGGTCTCTACCACCCTGCACTTAAAACCCACATACATTTGTTTGAAAATAAAATGCATGCTATTATCTTCCCTCCATAAAAGCAAAACATCAAACACATGAAGACTTTTAAACTTCCCCTCCACTCAACCACAGGACACAATCTCAATCTGTTACCTGCTGGCAAATTGGTTCCAGTAACTAATAGTAAAATAGCTATTTGGCCCAAATCCTTAATGTTACTCTTAATTTGAATGAATAAGCACATCTAATGGGAACCATGGAGACTGTCCTGGGAAATAAAGACACGTATACAAACAATATAGCTCTAAGCCCTCACATCACCAAACCACTCAATCTCATTTTTTATCCAACAGGATTATTTGGTGTCCTTAGCAATTTATCGAGTCCACATGATATTTAAACATGCACATTATAGTTAGTTGAACAGGAACCTATGCTGCTTATTATGGGATATTTGGAGTCATAATCAAATAGCATTTTGTTGCCCTTGAAGATTGCCACAGAACTATGGGAGTTTAAGTCTATTCATGTCCTACAAGAATTCTAGGCTTTGAAGAATGCTCAACGAACAACGTCCAGTAGCCAAGTTCTATGACTCAGAATCAGGCTCCATGCTCTGGGTCCAAAAACAACAACAAAAAAAAGCCAGGTGATACTGAAGAAATGACAAGTAAATTTCCATAAAATAAAACAATGAGGCCTGGCGCCGTGGCTCACTCTTGTAATCCTAGCACTTTGGGAGGCTGAGGCGGGCGGATCACGAGATAAGGAGATCAAGACCATCCTGGCTAACAGAGTGAAATCCTGTCTCTACTAAAAGTACAAAAAAATTAGCTGAGTGTGATGGCGGGTGCCTGTAGTCCCAGCTACTCCGGAGGCTGAGGCAGGAGAATGGTGTGAACCCGGGAGGCGGAGCTTGCACTGAGCCAAGATCGCACCACAGCACTCCAGCCTGGACAACAAAGCGAGACTCCATTTCAAAAAATAATAATAAAATAATAATTAAAAAAATAAAAATAAAAGTAAAACAATTGAGTTGCACATGATTTATAAGGATGGTGGTTAAGGTGGGGAAACTGCTTCTCAAAGATCTCGGTGCTATGAGAGAAATAACACGTGAGGATTAGTTTCTTTCTGTGTACCACAAATCAAGCTGGGCGCCTCCAGGTAAGGCCGGGTTTCCATCAGGCACCCTTTGAGCAATCCCAGATTTTTCAGCAAAAGGAAATTTTATCTTCCTTCAACTGGAAGCCTGCTTATCATAGAGTTAAATGTTCCAGATTAAATAGATGCACCGAGTAACAGACGGGAGATCTGTCTGATCTTTGGAAGACACCCACTTCTCTCCCAGGTGTCCTCTTCTTTAAAATGCACAGGAGGCCCGCGATCATCATACGGAGGCAATTTAAAATTGATTCACAATGCAGCGAGCTGCTGTCAGAAGCTGTGAACACTCATCCGTCCCAGGGGAAACCCATATGGATGTTAATACATCAGTCACAGGGGGCCCCGCAGGAAGCTGGTGCTGCCTGCTGTGCTGGAGAGCCAAATCAAATGAACACACCAGAGCAACGCAAAGGGCAGATGGGTCTTTAGGAGGGATCAACTGGAAGGAAAAAACCAGGGAAGGAAATTATTCACCTACAATAATAACAGAGCTTTTTCGATAAAAGGCCACACTGAGGGCTCATCGTGACAATGGTGAAGGGATCCCAGAAGGAAACTTAACTTTCTCTACTGGTTGAGGAACTAGGAAAAGTAAAACCAATCAGAAAGAGGAATGTATAACCAGATAGTGAGTATTCATGAATATCGCTCACACCTGAATTCCGAATGCAGCCAGCTACAAAAGAACGGACATGGATATGACTGCATTTCTAGAATTTCGAACACAGGCAAAATTCATCTGCAGTACTGAAAGTCAAGGTCGTGGTTAACCTTGGTGACTGCGAGGGGCATGGGACGGGTTTCTGGGCAATGATCCTGCTCTGTTCCTTGATCCGAGGGCTGGTTACACCGGTGGCTGCCTTTGGTGAAAAGTCGCTGAGCTAGACACATGTGATTCATGAACTTTCTGTATGTGTATGGTATTTCAATGTTTAAAGTTTAGATTCATTTAGTTATTTAGGGGAAGTCAAGGGGAAGGCTCTTAACCAGTTAACACATTAGATTAGGTCCACAGCCAAATCAAGTGCCCAAACTTTGCTGTTAAATGAACCTCTCTCTGGCTCTCTGGCCACATCAACCGTGGTCTTGCCAATCAGCCAGCCTGCAGTCTAGAATGTGTCCGTTTCGTGATCCATAAGACAGGAATAACAATAAAATATAGAGGTCGCAGGGGTTGCTGTAAGGATTAAAGTGGTAACAGCTGCAAACCACTTAACACCGCACTTGACACCTGCAGTGAGTCTTCAGGAAATGACAGTATTGTTATCGAACCACCAAGACTGAAAATGCCAAGTGAAGATACGTTGAATTGAGGGCTTTATCTCAACCAGTGGACAAGTATGTGGGTCAGGGAATGC